CAAGGTTCCGGAATGAACTTCCTGACCCAACTGCACAGCTCAAGCTTATGACCATCAAGCGAGATAAAGATCAGTATGTTGCGAATTTCTCTACATGTGTGTTATTCTCCTTTTACTTCTTCTTAACCCGTTTTGATTCCCACTAGATTTACAAAGTATACTATCTCATCGCTGGAGAAACTATGGAAACCAACAATCTTTGTCGAGCCTGATCTTGGAATACCCTTGGATCTGCTTGACCTAAGTGTATACAAGTATGATCTCTCTCAAAAACTTATATTTTGTCTCAGCTCATCCATCTACTGGMGTACTTATTGTTGTATCGCTTGTCAGCCCACCCAAAGTGAAGATACCTCTTGCCCCTGAAGATGAAGAACTGTTGCGTGATGATGATGCTGTTACTCCTATTAAGAAAGATGGCATCCGGAGAAAAGAAAGGCCAACTGATAAAGGTGTTTCCTGGCTCGTGAAAACACAATACATTTCTTCCATTAATAATGAATCGGCAAGACAGGTATCAATCTTACTTGTTGGATAATTCTTCTGTCGTATATAACTTGTAAAGATAGTATCGATCCTTCTATGTTTTCCATGTCTAGTCTCTAACCGAGAAACAAGCAAAGGAATTGCGCGAGATGAAAGGAGGTATCAACATCTTGCAAAATCTTAACAATAGGTCTGGTGTTTTTCAATTTTTTTTTGTTTTTTCTTAGGAAAGTGAAACACTAAACCATGGTCTAATGGTTTCTGTTTATTGGTCTCTAGAGAGAGAAAAATCAAGGATATTGAAGCATCATTCGAGGCATGCAAATCTCGACCAGTTCATGCCACCAATAAAACCTTGCAGCCAGTTGAAGTTTTACCACTGTTGCCATACTTTGATAGGTTAGATGCTCTTTGTTGTCCACTTTTCAGACAATATTAAATCTGACGTGCCGAATCAGGCATATTTTATCCCGTTATAGCACTGCCGTTAGACACAATATTAAACCCTACGTTGCTCCATTTGTATATAGCTTGAAAGCTAACACTTCAGAGTGTATCTCTGTGTTGGCATTCTGGGAATGATCATCTGTTGTGGTAAACATGCAGGTATAATTTTCCAATAGAATAGTGTAATCAATCGAATGGGAAAGCCAGCTTTGTAACTATATAGCACTTAAGAGGGATGTTGGTCTTGAAATTTTCCTTTGTCTCTGCTCCATGTCCTGTCCAAATGTTTCTTTGCTAGAGTTTAGTGCATTGCTTTTTGGATGAAAATTCAGTAATAGTTTTCACTGAAATCGTAGCATATGCTAATCTATATGACTCTTCCTTTTTAATTTTCGACACAGGTACGAAGACCAGTTTGTAGTAGCGAACTTCGATAGTGCTCCTACAGCAGATTCTGAATTCTTTGGCAAGTTGAACCCTTCAATTCGGGATGAATATGAGTCACGGGTGAGTTATGTGTTGTATGTGAGAGACGTGGTGACCGTGGAAACCACATATCACTTCAGTTGCCACATAAGTGTAGTCAGAATGAGGATTGCGTCAACATGCTTTTTTATATTATAAACACATAAATTGACCTTTTTCTCATATTGATGGCGAGCTCTGACCTAAATCTTCACAGGCCATTTTGAAAAGCTATGTGGTTTCTGGATCAGATACTGCCAACCCAGAAAAATTTCTGGCATACATGGTTCCTTCCTTGGATGAGGTAGACATGCCTCTCCACGAGTTGATCTCTGTAAAACGAGTCTTGAAAAGTTCAATTTGATTGATGTGTTATCAATTCATGTTGATGTGCCAGTTGTCTAAGGATATGCATGATGAAAACGAGGATATCTCTTACACTTGGGTTCGCGAATACCACTGGGATGTATGTACCTTAGCCGGTGTGATTTGTAATATTTATTTCTTGTTTGGGTTGGAGATAGAAATAAATATGTTACCTGATGTTATAACAGATACCACCTGTACGTGGCCATGATGCAAACGATACATACCTGGTATCGTTCGATGATGGGACCGCTAGCTATCTGGTATTCCCTAAACTAATATCTGCATCACTTTTTG